TTACCATAAAGACATGAGACTCTAATCAAGCAGAACATTGACTGTCATCAACTCTTACTCTTCCATTTCCCTGATGGTGTTGTCAGATTTAATGCAAAGCAAATTTTTAGTGGTGGCCCAGTTTCCCAGTTTAAGTTTAATTCATGGAGATTTGGATACAAGAAAATTAGTATGAGACCGAAATAAGATAACACACCTGATTTATGCATATGTTGCAGCTAGCTATGGTTGTGCAGTTGGTACACTGACTGATTCCAGCAAACAAAGACAATCCAGCAATTTAATATGTGTGAATAATGCACATTCCAGCCTGCTCTCATTCCCAGAGGGTCAAATACCTACGCTTTGTCACATCTTTCAAAGTCTGGTACCAACTTACATGGCACATTTAGCGCCATTGATCAACGCTAAAAGTATAATTAACAGAAAAGTCTGAGTAAGGCGATGGTTGGGTAGGACGGGTGGGAAAAATACTGGACTTTTACCCAGGAGACCGGTGTTCGTTTCCCATGTGAAAGAAAATGCCAACATTGATTCCTTTTAGTGAAGCTACGTAAGTAGAGTTACGTAACTTAAGTCATGTAAGTTTTGGTGCCTAAACCTAACCTAATTGCGATGTTTCACATCATATTTATTCTTGATCAGCGAGCCCCACACGTACAATGTGACACCCTTGGATGAGAACGGGTTGTATATTTAGTGTGAACGCACCATAACAAAGCAAACTGAGGTTTTGCTCTATGAAGGAGGTGGAAGGAGTCACAGTGGTGTTTCCCTATGGTTCCTAACAGTAATTTAGACAACTGACCCAAATTGGTTTGCTCCCACATACAACATCTCAAAGGATATCTGAAAAATTTAAATCACATATTTAGATGTTGCATATAGATTATTATCCATTTTTTCCTTTTTAAATTGTATGGAGGTCCAGCAGCTGGAAAACTTTGCCAAAGAGCAAAAGTTTGAGTTTAAATAAATTTGATTATTTTTAAGTTGAAGTTTCTACAGGATAACTATTTGCCAGCCACACATTTTATCTTTTAACCTATTCAAAACCTGCATGTCACCCCTAAAACAGTGCGAAGCCTCATCTAGAAAGGTGGTTTTCAGAAATAAACACCGCAAAATGTTTGTTTTTATCTTAAATTGGTGGGAAGGCCAAAGTGGGGAAGCCAATAACCGGCCGCATCACCTTTTTTCAGGATAAAATGAATCAGTGACTTCATTTAAAGCCAAGTAACAAAAAGACAAAAAGGTTTGTAACCAACTGACCCATTAAAACATGGATAACATACAGTATTAATATGTAACACGCTATGGACACATTACCGCCAGGGCAGAAGCGATCCTTTGGCCTCTCCGGTGTAAAGTGTCTCTGCCGTCACTGGTTCTATCTACTGGTCATCTCGACCTGCATCTAAACGGCCTGTTATGGCTGCTGCACCCCCCCCCCCACACTGTAATTCAATCAGCCTGCCAGTCAACGGCGGTGAAATATGAGCCGTAATGGAGGGCCGTTAGCAGCTCGGGATCAGATGACTCAATCTAACCGGGGTCCCAAAATGGCCGCCGTCGTTTGGCACCCTTCCTGCCTCACCCGATTCAGTCTAAAGGGGAGAGAAATGGGACCTTCACAGCAAGCTCTTCATACGCTATTGATGGAAATTATTACTTTTTCTTATAGGTTTCTTTTTGGTTTCAACCAAGTTTGAATTTAACAGATTTTCCAATTAACATAGAAGGTGCCTGAACAGGGTTATCTTAAATAAAATAATCTGTACCATACTATTGTACATCTGCAGTTCAACATTTTCATGTTCATTTATGTACACACAAACATATACATTTGTGAGGAGCATACCTTTAAGTAATTTTGAAGCAATGAAATGCAGTGATATTCCCTCACAGTTGGATCTTAAATGTACAGTTTATATTTGTATTAAGTTGTTTTCATGTTCTTTTTGCAACAAAACCAATTTCCTTAATTGTCACACTGCCAATGGCAAGGTCATTGTATTTGTGGAGGATTTCCAGCGATCATGGTAAATTTAATTAAAATATACAGTCCAGACATGACAACAGGCTTGGCGTTATCCCTAATGGTACTGTCTTTAACAGCCCTGCAAGAATGGAGCTCTTTCTTTGACTGGAAAACATAAATAAATAAACATAATTTTTGGGAAAAAGGGTTGCCTGTAGCCTCGCAATGATTTGTACCGAAACAATTTAGGAAGACGGGAATGGGGCAATCTCAAATTATCATTGAAGTATTTGTGGCCTTCTTGTGCTGCAATTTCTTCTTACTTATCTATTGACAATATGACATGTTTGAGTGGACTGATATATTTGCCATGACAATGACAAATATATGATGCCTTCATTATGATTGACTTAGTTGCTTATATAATTAAGATGTTGAAAAGCTAAATAAATTTGGACATATATATATGAACAAAATTATAAACGCAAAACTTTTGTTTTTTTCCCCCCATTCATCATGAGCTGAACTCAAAGATCTAAGACTTTCTGGAGTGGCCTTTTATTGTGGCCAGCCTGAGGCACACCTGTGCAATACCCATGCTGTCTGATCAGCATCTTGATATGCCACACCTGTGAAGTAGATGGATTATCTCGGCAAAGGAGAAGTGCTCACTACCATGGATTTTGACAGATTTGTGAACAATATTGAGAGAAATAGGCTTTTGTGTAAATAGAGTCTTAAATCTTTAAGTTTAGCTCATGATGAATGGGGGCATTAACAAAAGTGTTGCATTTATAATTTTGTTCAGTGTATATATGCAAATATTCATCACAATATTAACTTCTAACATAGGTTAGGTTTCAGATATTATATCATCTTGTTAATTTCCAAATCTGTAAAAATGCATTACCTGATTGTATTATAGTAGAAAATGTCACCCCCAAATTAGCCGCAACCTCTCTGTTGGTGATTTAAAACTGAAAACAGTTCACAGCAGGTTTTGGTGCACTGTTGGTGCACCAAATTAGGGTTGCACTTTGAAATCATCATCACAGTATTTTCAGACTTTCCTATGTTTTTCTTCTTTTGTTGTATGTTGACAACCACCACACTGCACCCTACAGGCTGTTAACAGAGTTTATCAAAGTAGGGAACCTGCAGGCGCTGAGAACCTTTAGAGTGCTGAGAGCCCTGAAAACTATCTCAGTCATCCCAGGTAAGGCCTCACCAGCACCAGGGGGCGAAAAGGGACAGAAAAAAAACCCACTCGCCATCGTAACGTCGTCATGAACGTCCTCTCTTGTTCGTCCCATGTCTGCCGTGTCTTGCAGCACCAGCCCCCAGCCCACTTCCCACTCTCTGCCCAAACAGGGGTCAGCGGTGTAATCACCTGATCTGAACTGATGACACAGTGAAGAAGGAAAAGTCAGATAGGTAAAAGCTGAACACATGATCCTTAACTGGAGATTTTAAACACCTTCAAAGTGCCTTTGTGGCTCGTATATAACGTAAATGTGTAACATAACTTGGCTAATTAGCACATTTCAGGCAAAATTGATGATGAGCAAACAACAGTTGTTGTTAATACTGACAGATTAACTAGACTACACTTTTCAAACCAGTTGGAAAAACCTTAAAAGATAAGATAATAACTTGATTGATTTGTTGGATTAAATTAACCCTGAAAAGCAATAGAGATGTTTCCTAATCAATAGCCTACAGTTAATATTGGCTACTAAGAAATACTGTTTATGCATATTTACTGACATAACGTACTAAAACAGCTGTTTTCTAACATTACAGGAACTTTGTTTAATATTTATTCTATACCTTATAAACAAAGCGTAAGGATTTTATGCTAAAGGTACCCTTCAGCGTCCGTATAAAACGCCACTGTTTGCTACGTTGCAGCAAAACAAGGGAAGCTAACCCTACCTTTTAGCACATCGGCCGTGAGGCATATTGCACATATTAATTTTTGAGAAATAAGTGTAACATTACTGTATTTGCTAACCAGATAGGTTGTGGAAGTATGCAAGTAATTAGCGAGTGTTCCGTAGCATTAAGCTAAATGTTAATGTTAGCTAATAAAGGAAACAGTTGCTTTAGAATTAGCATAAAGCATGCTAACTGTTTGATTTGCAAAAACACGGCAGTTAAGTTTGACATTTCCTGTTTGGTTTTTTTCCTCTATTTTCCAGTTATCGTCAATGCTATGAATCTGGACTAGCAGTATATTTTAGCAATTAATTGCGTAAAAATGGCCATGCTGGTATCATTTGCTCTAAAGCTAATTGATTCGTTGATTGACAGAAAATTAATTAGCAACAATTGAATTTTTTTTTAAGCATAAATGCCAAAAATTTACTGGTTTGCAATTCTCAGATGTGGATATTTTCTTATTATCTTATTCTTAAACTAGACATAATGTCTTTAGGTTTTGGAACAAAGCTAAACTTAGCTACAGACATCAACTCTGGCACTGTGAACTTGTGATGGCATTTTTCACTATTTTACGACATTGGACCAAAGAATAAATGGATTAATTGAGACTAATTGAGATTTTTCATGTTTGAAATAACAAAAAAATACAGCTGAACTTGAACCTGAGAAATATTAACAGCACAATTTAGCAGCGTAGTTGATAATCAAAATAAACATTAATTGCAGATCTAACTTAAACTCAAAAATATATTTATGAGTTGACACCTATCATAACAATATCACATTAGTTATTATTAGCTCTTCTTCAAGACCTGAAGATCTGAAAAAGTGTTGAGTTCGTCTCCAGTTTGTTTCCATGTGAGCAGCTTTGACCATCTGATTTCCCATAGTCTACTTTTCCCAGGCGTGAACCTCTACCGTTGCCGTCCGACCTGGCCTGTCTCTACTGTATCTCTCTGTCTCTCTCAGTATCTCCATTTTTACTATCCCTCTGTGTCGGCTCGCTGTTGCTCAGTGTGGTCATACCCTTCTGTGTGTGTCTGTTCTTGTGCTTCTGTCTCCCGGCTTGTTGCAGATATGTGACTGAGTTTGTGGACCTGGGTAATGTGTCAGCCTTAAGGACGTTCAGGGTGCTGCGAGCGCTCAAAACCATCTCTGTCATCCCAGGTGAGGAAGCGAACGCAGGGGAGGGAATATCAAACACAGCCCTCCCGGCCGGCCTCTGCTGGAAGTGGCTGCGTTTGAAATCTCATTCTGCATACTACCTACTGAAATTATACTATCTTTTATTTTAAATAAACTTTGATAAAGTACATATATGTGTAGGTAGTATGCAGAAAGAAGCAATGAAGTCTCCTTGATAATTGGTGGTGAGTGGACAGCAGACAGCAAACAGCAACAAACCAAGAGTGAAGCAATGATACACGAGTGATGCTTAACGAAAGCCATTGCAGCTAAATTCACAAGTGTGTATGTTAACCATTCATATTTGAAAATATGGGCCTGTTTTACCATTAAGTCCATTAAAGTTGATAAATTATTACAGTATGAAAGTTAAACTGGGAGATTGTGACTTTTATGTTAAGTGACGGGCTAGATCGTTTCTATACAGAGGAGTCGCCACTCTTGTTGGACTGCAAAGACCAACTCGGTCTCATATACACTCAAATTGCATGTAGTGCACATCCCAAAGTCCAGTTTTGTGTGCAGGTGATACACCAATGCATTATAACGCCCAACACGTCTTTTTTTTTTTTTTACGGAAAGCACACATAATAATACATAAATCAGTCATTCTCTGAACACATTCTTCACTCTGCTACCATCAGGTCGTAGATATACAGTAGATCCCTGGCCTGGAAACAGACTCGCTATAGCAGGAGATTTATCTCCTCTGCCATAGCACTCCTCAAAAAAAGTACTCGCTAAGTAAAACGTATGTTTGGTTTGGTGTCAATTTGTGTATAAAATGTATCCTGTTAGGTATGTTGATGTCGTATAGATGTAGGTATAGATAGTGGAAACAAAGTTCCTGAAAAGGACAATGAAGAATGTAATCTAATGTACGCATGGTCAAGGGCTATTGGCGTCCGTTTGCAAAGCAGTGGGGAGTCCCTTAGCGTCATGGTCCAACACACTGTGGGAAGCCCTGTAGGGTCATTTATGAACATTAAAGGTAGGTGTGGGATATTTAACAGAGATGTCCAAGTAAGGAGGTGGTTGGGGTGGACGAGTGGGCCAGGAGACTGGTATTCGTTTCCCGTGTGAAACAAAAAATCAGCATTGAATGTTTGTATTAAAGTAAGTTGCATATTAACGATGATCTTGCGACGTTTCACATTGACCACTAGTTTTATTTTGACAGTCTAGTTGGACGTTGCATATTTATTGTTGCTAACTTGGCCCTACACGTCCAAAAACAACGCTAAAGAAGTACCCAGGGTGTTAAAAAGCGAAGCCAAGAGGCCTTGACCAAGCGTCTATATGTGATGAGTTGGGAGTGAGAATGTGTTGGAAATGCTAATACGTCCCATTAACTTCTGTGGAGAGCAGATGTGTCAAAATACCACGTATAACCTTGAAAAATCATAACCTCACCAGTGAGGCTCAGTTTGGTTAGGTTTAGGAAAAAGTAAGTGAAATATGTTGCATAACTTAACGTTAAGTTAAAAGAAATCAACATTGATTATTGTTTTCACTCTGAACATGAACATCTGTCTCCTGTGTGAAAGTTTGAAATTTTTTTCTCTTTGATATTTGTATGTACAATGGACACGCCGCACAATAACAGTACAGCCTGGTTTTGGCGTATTACTTGTACAGAAAATCGGACTTTGGCGTGTGCACTGCACGATATTTCTAATGGTCTAAAAAGTTGTGTTATTTATATGCAGATTCATGAAAGCCTGCTGGCAAAAACACACAGCCCACTCATTATCGCAGGGTGGTCTTACAGAGTGGTGCTTCTTTCTCTTAACAAACAATCTTGGCCAAGTACAAACACCCATTTACAGACAACAGCCAAGTTTAATCCTGGCCTTTTATCAAGTTACTTTCAGAATGAATTAGCTACAGCTGAGATAATCTGCCGCTGGTGATGTTTGTCACTTCAGCCGGTGATAGTACTGTGCTGACTACAACTAGGGACCTTACTAATGAGTAATTATTATTAATAATTACATTGCTAACGAAAGGTTTGACTTTTCCCAATCAGGAACATGGTCCAAAATGGATCCCAATCCTACATGTAGATCTGTTTATTTGCCCCTGTATTAGAAGAGCTATAAATCAATTTGAAAGGGATTTAGTCCTGTGGTTTAAATACACATTTATATCTTCGATTTTAACTTTTAAAGACCAATCCTTTTTCTTCCACAGTGAGACAAATATTTCATTTCAAAATGTAGAACTAAATCTGTTGCTGGCTAGCCTCTGTATGTTTCCACTGTGCATGTTAGCATGCAGAGCTTTAAAACGTGATTACATCGCAGTCATGCCATAGTAGTGGCCTTGTTATAACAATGTCTGACTCATGTTATAACTACACCACAGTAGAAGCAACGTGTCAAAAGCATGCCATAACTGTAGCCTAAATATAATCACACTATTCATTCATTAGCTTACAGACACTTCCATGCTAACAAGAACAATGTTGATTCTTGTAGCCATTATGCATTTTGGATGCACACTGTAATTGTTTAGTGTCTGTTTCTAATGAACGAAAAAGTGCTTTCAAGAGATCAAAAAAGTATGAGAAGAAACTTGGATGTTTCTTGGATTTGGTTGGATTGGCCGTGGACAGTCAGCTTGTCTACACCCTTTGTGTTCTGAGTGCGTTTTGTTCCTGCTGTTTTAACCATCTGTTCATGTTCATGTTCATGTTCGTGTGTGTGTGTTGTGTTTTTATCTGGATGTTAATGGGGAATTTGTGGACTGATTTGCTTTGGCATTTTGTTGGTGATGACGACGGTGACTTTTCTTCACAGTGACAACATTTAAACCAAAAAAGCTGCTGTCAGATGAAAACCTTAAATTTCCAAGAAATGTGACAAATTCACTTTTACAATGTACCGTGATGGTTTATTATTACCCTGACGAATCGCTTATCCACAGAGATTTTCACCTAACAGCAGAATTTTGTTCTTTATTTTCAAGTAACTATGGTACAGAAAGATGGCTGCCCTTAGGACTGACTCAAAGGGCATTGACAAGACATTCCTGTAAAACAAAAACTGAAGAAATACTGCTGTTTTTAAGCTTCTTCCAACGTTTGTGACTCCGTTTGGATTTGGAGTGAAATATTTTGGATTTTGCATATTGGGAAGAGGCTAGAAGATTTGATAGATTTGATTTGACTTAAGTAGGCTGCCATCTTTAGGTCCCTGCTCCATTGATTAAAGTAGTTCAACATATGTGAACCTTTTATTTAAACCATTTGTTTTCATTCAATTTTAAAATAGAATATTTTATTTAGTCAAAGAATGATTTTGAGCTAGCTCTTTCTGAAATCGGTCTAATCGAGGGTTCATGGCCACAATAACATCTCCCTAAATATTTATCCCGTCTGCGTCCTTGCATCCCCGGCGGTCTGGCAGGCCTGAAGACCATCGTTGGCGCTCTGATCCAGTCAGTGAAGAAGCTCGCTGACGTGATGATCCTCACCGTCTTCTGTCTGAGCGTCTTTGCACTCATCGGACTGCAGCTCTTCATGGGAAACCTGCGGCAAAAATGTGTCCGCAGCCCGGAGCACTGCGTCAACGGCAGCCTGCCGGCCAACACCTCCTTTTTCTGCAACAACAAGACCTGGGCCTCCCTGAAGGACTTCATCAACGACGAAGGTGAGAGTCAAACTTTAAACTGTTACTGACATGATGAGTTGACAATGGCATCACTTTTGGTACTTTTTAAAGCCTGGATGGACATAATTTTGAATTTTTTTACAGATTTGATTAGGATTTGTTCAGGTGTGTGAGATGAAAAGCTCAGTCTTGCTTTGTTGAAATCAGAGCTACATTTAAGTTGAAGATAGAGGGTGGATCGCTTACATCATTAATAAATAATTAACCCCTACGTTCCCACCGTCAGTGACTTGGTTGACATTGTTGCTCAAACCCACACCTTTGGTCAGCCTCCCAGCTCAAACTTCACATTTCAATCTAAACTTGTTGACCAGGCTTTGGTGCCTCAAATACAGAACTCAGGGCGAAAGTTACATAAACATGGTTATGATGGATATCCGTTGTGATAGAGTAAAGATTTGTAAGAATGTTGTTGTAGATCTCTTCATGGATCCACTCAGTTATCCAGGTCTCTTTTGGGTTATACCTTCTATCTAAAAAATCGTATTAATGTGTGCACATTACGGCTGTTTTGGATCATGTATGTGAGCTCTCACACAAACATGCTCCCTTCGACTTTAAAATTGTTACTGGGTCTAAATCTGAGAGAGTTTCCCTGCAAATCAGGTGTTCTGGTGTGAAACTCAAAAGTACAGTAGCTTTAATTGTCCTGTCTGATTTTAGGTGTTTTTAGCGGCTCAGGTTCGGTCTCAAGCTTTGTCGATGACGGAAAAGTCAACTCGTCGGTCTTTATCCATTATCATCAATTATTCTGATAAGCGCAACAGAAACATATTGCTAATCGCCCACTCAGGAAACCACTGATCTATCTTTGTGATCTGATTTGATCTGGTCTACTGTATGAATGATAAGAGTAAACTTCACAGTTACAGCAAGTGTCAGAGTCACTGAAGATACTGAAGGGATGTCCTGTTGTTGCTGGTGGGAATATAAACCTAAGGAGAAGGCTTTTAAAGGCTGATTCAGATTTTTTCTGAATCAACATATTTACGTTTGACTCTTTTTAGTAATAAAATGTTTCCGATCATCATACGAAGATATAACATTCACTGAAATTCAATTTAACCATTAAAAGAATGAATAAGATAAAATTATAATTCATATATTACTTAAATACTGTGAGAATTTGGATTAATGACCTCTGTATTAAAGAAAAAATCTGTTCCTGGTCCTGTAACTTGATGCACTGAAGACAAGACGGTGGCAGCAGAACAAGAAAAGCTTCTAGTATGTTCTGTAGAGAGGCGTGTGCGTGTGTGTGTGTGTGGTTCATGCTGCAGTCGTGACTGGTGTTTCCTAAATGAACTGGACAATGCCACGTTGGCACCGTGGTTACAAGTGACGTCAATAAAGACACACACACACTGTCAGGGGTGTGATGTGTGTACAAGCAGTTCAGCTGGGCAGTTAACCAGGAGCATAGCATATACAAGATGTGACACACACACACACACACAGAGGTCATGTGAGGTCAGTTGGTATATACACTATTTGACATGTCAGGCATGTTGACCAGGAAACATAATGTATGTCATATACAGTATATATAAGCGCATACATGCAGCCCACACACACACACGCCGGTCGAGGTCAGGGTTAAGGAAACACTTAACGCTGCTGTCAGATGAAACCTAAGCTCTGCGGCACCTTTTTTTCTTTATGTAACCAAAACACTGAACTGCTTTTTAGCTCTTGTGTTTTGTCTCGCATGGTTGTTTTTTCTATCTTCTCATTTCTTCTTTTTCTTTTCTTTTTAGATCTTTAATTCTCAATTCCTTCTAAATCTTGTGTCCCGTGAGCCTTTTCTTTTCTCTTGTGTGTCTTTTCTTTATTCTCTTTTCCGCTTTATTGTGTCAGTTTTCTTTTTTCTTGTGTTTTGTTTTTACTTTCGGATTCTCATTTCTTTACTAAACATTTAGGTGCAGATTCAGATTCCTTTATTGTCACTGCACAGAGTCCAACAAAACTGAGTGCAATCCTGATGGTACATTCCCAAATAATAAAACAGACATGACATCAAAATTTAAACAAAAATCTAGATATACAAATAAGTAATATAAAGTGTGCAAATGACTAAATATGTAAAAACAATACAGCTTTTATATATAAAGAGCTCATTACACAGAGGACACAATGTAAACACACACAGACACACATGTAAAACATCACTTTATATATTGCTTTTCTTTGAGGCAGCATGCAAATGAAGATTTTCTTCAAATTTTAATAAATCAAGTAGCTTTTCTAACCAAAAACACTTTTTTTGTCTATTGTCGGATGTCCTTTAGTCTCGTGACCGAGAGGCTGATGTAGTTGTAATCGTAACGTCTTGAATTCATCTGCAGAATAATAATACTATTTCATTCTATTCTTCTTCTACCAGTTTGACATCTAGGAACATGGCTTCAATCTTTTGTAATTCCTCAGATGTCAGACAGACAGATCATGACAGTACCCCCACTGTCTTTGATTTTCATCCCTGCGCATGAACTTAAAGCTACAGAAGCACAAACACTATACAACCTCACATTTACAGGCAAACCTTTCATTTTTTCCAAGGAAGGTTAAAATCAAGGGCGACTGGACCTGGTTGAAGATGCTTGAAGACGTTTCACCTCTCAGCTGAGGGGCTTTTTCCAATTAGTTCTCTCAGGTTATGAGCCGTAGAAGATTCATACACGAGCAAAATGAGGAGAGACACCAGGGCGAAACAGACTCTCATTATCCAAAACCAGATGTGTAACTATTTAAAGAAATTATGTTTCACTGTAGCCATCAGGAGAGCAGAAGGAGACCTGCCCTGACCAGACACAGCAGTCAAGTACAGTAGAGCCTTTACAGCAGTGTTTCGACTTCTGTTAAAGGGTGAAACCGCCTAAAATAAAGGCAATTTCCAGAACTTACAGTAATAAGGTTTGTCGGGACATGATGCTTCTTGCTAATGAACCTTCTATTTATTCATTTCCAGTTTGGTTTGCCATCCATCACATCAAACAAATGTCCCCTGCAGGCTCCCTTATCGACCTCTAAAAGCTGCTGTGAAACCTGAGAGGTCCCGTTCGACTGATCTGAAAACAGCCCTCAGTGGCGGATCAATGGTGGATGTTCTCCGTGCTAAACTTTTCCCATCATACCGTGTTTATTCTGTCTGGTCAGAGCCGGCAGCAGTCGTCCCTGGCGGTTCTGGTTGGAGGGTTCAATAATTTAATATCAACAGACATCGTGTTCAGAGCATTTCCCCTTTTGGTGAGCAGTAGATGGAGCTGATAGTAGTTTTAATCAGGAAGCAATGACAATGATTTATTCTTCAGTTCATCATCAGCATGTTTACATGCAGATTATGGCCCTGCTTACACCTGGCTATAAACTTGAGATTTGGCAGACCTTTAAAACAAACGTAGCTAGTACTTCTGGTCTGTACGAGACGCCCGAGAGCGTCTCATGGAGACGCATCGGGTGCGTCTACCTTTGGCATCAAATAACTACGTTTTGTCACTTTTTCTGAGCGTTGGTATTGGACGTCCTGAGATGAGAACGTTCTCAAATGACCTACTCTTAAGGTACAAGGCAGAATTATTTATCATCTTACAACACAGGGTATAATTAAATAGGATGACCTGACATCCCCGTTTTCCGGGGACAGTCCCCAGTTTTGGTGGGCTGTCCCCATCTGGAGCTGTCCCCGGAAATATCCCCGTTTTTAACTGTGTGTTAATCATATGCGGTGAAAACTGATTGTCGTCCTCAGCATGATAAAGCCAACCCGACTCTATTTACGACTACAGCTGCTTTTATCTGGATCAAACAGACATAATGTGCAAATAAACATCACTTTTTGTCCTTGGTTATAGCAAAGGTATGTATTTGTGAGGGTTATATTTGACAGAACCCACCTATAACTTTTTTACCTCTTAAAATACCTTTAAATGGCTAAAACAACACTTAAAATGCCGGCCTCAAAATTTCTTGATTTCATTCAGAAGTTATATTTGACAGATTATATAGCCGAAATTGTCCCTCTTTTTTTATTTCACATTATATTTTTTAAACACATACTGACCACCAAACCAAAAATGTCCCCGGTTTTCATTTCATAAATCTGGTCACCTTATAATGCAATGAAATTATGGTTCCTTTCTGCTCCTCACAAAAACAAACATATATATATATATATATATATAAATAGTAGATGGTTGGATAAAAGAAGTCACTGTTTTGCATGGTGCAGTGCTGAGGTGCAGCATGTGATGCACATCAAAACATGTGTGCCAATTACTGTCTAACTAAGGCACATCCTGGTCTGTGTGGTACGTAGAGGTGCACAATATATTGACTAAATATTGTTATTGCGATATCACGTTATATCAAGCAACATCTTCTTTTTATTTTGTGCAGAGATGCGTCCGTTTGCTGGGTGGCTTAAATTGTGTTTGAATTAGAGTTAGCTTGAAACCGCTATATAAAGATCACATTTCAATGGCCAGTTGCTCAGAGATACACCAAAAACAATCAGACACAGGTCCTATTAGCTTGTGTTTATACACATATTTAAGAATATTGAAATTAATATCGTAATAATATTTATGATCACTATCTCATTTTGTCAATATCGTGCAACCTTAGTGGTACAGCTGGTGTGTTGGATCTAATAATATTAAGTTAGTTGGCTCTAGGTTTTGGAATTTCTTATGTTTAAGTGAAATTTTGTCCTGTTGGTGGCCAGTGTTGGGCAAGTTACTTCCAAAATGTAATTCATTATAGATTACTAGTTACTCATTTAAGAGTAATTAGTTATATTACAATATTCCTGTCTCTGGATTGTAATACTTTGCACAACTTTTTAGTGACTTTCACTGCATTTACATTTTGACAATTAAATTATTCAAGGTCCACTCACTTACTTTTTCTGGGGCTTTTAAACACATCTCACAGTCCTCATCCAGGGCTGGAACTTCCTCACAGCTGACGTTCATAAGTGGGCTTTAAATTGAGATTTTTTGGTGACGGTCCCTCTCAGATTTACAGAAACACATTCAGCTTTAATGGCATTTCATTCATTTGAGCCATGTAAACAGATTTATTCTTTTTTTTACTTTAAAACTACATACCATGAACTGTGTTAAGCATGACACAAGTTATGTTGATGGTTTTGTGCACTTTCTGCCTCTGAGATGGAAATGGATGAATCTCACAATGTTTTCACAATAAATAAATCTTTGATTCATCTTTTCTTCGTTAGAGAGCAGATTAATATGTCTCAGTATAATTCACTTTGACCAATAGCTCGCTGTCACACCTGCAGACTTTAATCATGTAAATGTATCTCTTGCAGATGACAATGCACAAGGGGAGGCTGGAGGTGTGTTTAGGCTTGTCAGAGTAATTTGCTGCTCTTGAGTTTTAAAAAGAAAATGAAATCGAGCCCACTTTCTAGATATCCTGTAGAGACAATTTTCCAAATTTCTGCAGCTCTGTAAAATCTTCTCAGACGGGGGTTGCTCTGAAAGAAACCTTCATTAAATGTCAGTCCATTGGCTAATATGCATTTATTTGGAAGGGTGGGGGTTGTGGAAGCCTGAAGTTTCAGGTAATTCCTTTAAGTAGACTGTTTGGATCTGCTTTGTCTGGGTAGAAAATGCCTCAGTGACTAATTTCTGTGCAGCGTAACGGCTTCATGGTTACTTTGAGCTCGTGAACAAAAGCACTTCAGACTTCATAAGTTTTTGTTGGCGAGCAGGGATGCAGTCTCCCAGATGCACAAGATAACAAATGAATGGCTGCGCTTCTAAAAAGCTTAAGTGCCTTTGGTGCAGCGGCGGTCAGAGCCAAACAGAAGCACCACAGAACCTGTTTTGTTTGTCAAAGGGGGAAAACTTTGCACGTGTACGGTAACAATAAAGGAAAGAAGATGAAGACGAACAAAGCTCTGGTTTTCTTTGTAGACTTTGAAATGTTGAAATGTTTTGTTTCTCTCTGACAAGCTGAGGTTTTACTGAAAGGTGCTTGAACTTTGTTTCGCTGGGTGCAGCAGCTTCTTTTGTTTCCCTCAGTACATTTAATGAAGTGCGATAAGAATATGATGCCCATTTTTCTATTGGGATGCTATGTAATCTGTCATAATGACTACAGTTAAATGGATGTGCTCAGAATTGTGTGTTGAATGAAAAATAAGTACCCCGAATTCCCGTAAGGCAAATGGATGAAAATGTCAAGCCAGCATTTAAGGTCACCGTTTCTGTTCAAATGTTGCTTGTGTGCCACAGCTTCTGATACTGAAATCCTCCATCTGTCAGGTTCCCCATCTTTATTATGTAAGGCTGACTCACAGAGGAACAGCTTTTTACGAAAAATAAATAAATAAATTTTGGTGCTGATGTTACATTTCACAAATGGGAAGTGATGTTTTTCACAGTTTTTCAGTCAGTTTTTTAGACGAGTAAAATGTGGCTGCCTGTCACTACATACTGTATCAGACTCAAAAGCAATTTTAAAGACTTTCCTTATTTTCATAGATCTGTCCATGATGGTGAAGTGATGATAATATTTTTGTTAATAACGTCATTGCAGAGAAGCTGTTTCACAGTGACTCCTCTAACAGCTGCTTTAGCGCCCGGTCACACCAAAAAGTGGCACCACGTCCTTTGTGAAGTTATTAGTGCTGAAAGCTTGTTGACATGGTCACTACTGTATTTGTCACAGTACATTTACATTTGTGGGAAAATAAATTAGAATGAAAAACTCTAGTCTCATTCTGCGGTGCAGGATTGTGCAAACTCTGGTGGTGTGAAACACCTTGTATAGTTAGGTAGGTAGATTTATTATTTCACATTATAACAGGTTATAATGTGAAATTGAGTTTGTAACTCCCTTCTGCTATGCAGCAGACAGTATACATTAATATAGAATAATTATAAAAATGGTAAACATTAATAAACTGTATATAATAGAGCAGTCATGAGGATGAATTTGAGTTTGAGTTTAAAAGTCTGATAGCTTGGGGGGAAAAGCTGCTCTGCAGTCTGGTGGTGCAGCAGCAGAAAGCAATATGATAGCTTTCTCCATTTTTGACTGGCCAGGTCTATTAAAGTTTGCCACATTAATTTACTTTGCCTTTGTGAGTGAATCCAGTGATAACTGCGTTTCTGCTGAAATAAACTGATGTAGATCCAAAGTTTGCTGGTGTAAATGCTGGTGTGACCAAACCCTGTGTGTGTACACACAACAAGAGCGGTCAGATAGGATATAATCAGCCCAGTTCAACTGGTTTGTCTGCTGTAATTCTCTGTGTCCTCTGTTCACCTGTTTTTTTAAGGTAGCCATATTGAACATTTGCTAGTAGCATAGCTACAAACTTGTCACCTTTAATGGGTGTAGGAGGACTTGGTCCTAGATTGATCTGGTCTTGAGTTTGACCTTGGTTTATGCTTTGATCTTGGTCTTGAGTTTTAATGTTGTTAAGAGAAGTGATTTTGTTTGTTATACACAGTTAAACGATATTAATGAAACACGTCCATTTAAAGAAAGAGCAAGATAAACTAAAGTGCATGTTTAACTTCTTGTAAAACTTTAAGGACTCTTGACTTTCTGAGATGACTTTTAAATGGCTTGACAGTTCAAACTTGTCGTCTCTAGTTTAGATGATCTTAGTTGATCGTCCCAAGTCTGTAGACTAGTTTGATCTCATTGTTTGATCTAATGATGTCTCGGACTCTTCTTGATCTGTATTAACATGGATTTCTCTAAAACCTGACGACTTGATTTTCTTCACGCCACCTGACTTTTGAAGACAGTTGTTCTTGAAAGTGTCCCCAGTTTATCTGAACGTGTATTGTTTGATTCCCCAAAGTCACATATATCTGCAGGCTGTGTCCTTGGGTAAAACACTTCAATACACCCATCTCTGGTGCTGTTCTGGAACCAGTCCTACTCTTTGTAGCAATAAATAGATTTATACCAATCCTCAGGGATAAACAGTGTAGCCTCAAACCACAACAAAAGTTAGGAAGCACTTGTTTTCTGAACTGTCAATAAAAGCTTTTGAACTTGTGCCTGATACTTATGTGTGTTTGGGGTTGAGAAGCACTTGAAGTACCCCATGTGATGATGGTTAAGTGTATTGATGTACTTGAAAATGTCTGTTGGTCAGATTTAAGTGTTGAATAAATGTTCAGCAAACAGTAGCTCCTGTAATGTTTTTCTGTTTTATGGCCTGCTGCTCAGACATTATCTAACCAGCCAAAACACACGAGCTGAGCTTGATGAGTTTATTGATCCTGCGGTAACACAGACAGACAGGCTGGGAGTTGAACACCAACTTACATTGGGGTGTACGGGAAAAAGCAGGAAGGTTTACCTGAACTTGCCTGAAACACCCTGACATTTAATTCTAAAGAATTTTGTCTTTTTCTCTAGACAACTTCTACAAGGTGGAGGGAGCCAAGGATGCCTTAATCTGTGGGAACAGCAGCGACGCAGGGTGAGTGGGCATTTTTTCTTCATGTTCAGACTAAATCAGAAGTTTAAATATGGCGTTGGCTGTGGGTGTATGAGCTGGACTCACAGTTGAGGGTGAAGCTTTTTGAAGGATGTGAGGGTTTTGATTGACGGATTCTGAAATGTGTTGCATTTGTGGGCTGTGTTGTCAGGAGGTCAAACTTAGAAGACAAATAAAGAAACAAGTTAATTGTGAAAAGGATAATTTCGTGTATTTAAAAATGTTAAGTATAACAAAAACTTTTTTTTGCCACTGGTCTTAAGGGTTCAGTGTCTAAGATTTAGTGCCATCTAGTGGTGAGAGTTGTGAATTGCAACTATTCTTCCAGTCTACCACTGCCCCCTAACCTTTCAAAGAGTGTCTTTTCTGAGACAGCAGAAAGTGGCCAGTCAAGAAATGAGATTTCTTTAGGTATATATAATAAGAAATTATATTTACTTAATTATTCAGTAAAACCATTTGTTATTGTAACTTGGCCACTCACAGAAGTGTTGAAATGTTGTGAAAATTCTGAACGACATTAAAAAAGTCTGCACCCTGCTCGACACACCTCTGAAAGAGCCGTCAGAAATGCAAAAGCGTCCGTAGGTTGATGGATGTCGATCAAACACCGAAACACAAACACTGCAGCACATGCAGTGATCTGAGAAACATTCGCTGCAGAATCCATTTGTTGATGAGAGAGAAAAAAAGATGTCCTGAGGTGGGATAAAACTCTTGACCCTTGGGTTGCAAGTCCTGCACCTTACTGACTGAGGTAACTAAACACGCTGTCAATACATGTCACTATTAAGGCTTATATCCTCATCAACCTTCCAATGGTTGAAAATATTGCTACGATGCAAAATCTATTTGCAGACCCCTGCAGTATTTTATTACTGCTTCTTCTTCTTACGTACGTATTGAACATAGTGATGAGTGTCTGCACTGCCTGAATTCTACCGCAAGTAGAACAAGAAGAACATAGTGACGAAACGCACTCTGTAGCCTGTTTGTCCGTTTACAGCTACTGTTGAAACATGACGATGCAACTTGGCGACGTCCATGGAAGGGGGTGCCCGCGGTTATGTAGATATAAATGGCTCATTCTAACGTAATAAAAACATAATGGTTAATTATGTAAGGTATTACACACCACGGAAAACATAGTTATGGATCTTTATATTGCATTTCTGTTGATAGATCCTCAGAAATTACACACCAAACCTGTCACTTTCAGATTTCAGAAATTTTGTATTCTATAAAGGGGGGAAAGTTTTCCATACATTACAACACTGGTGTTGTGTGTGTATATATATATATATATATATATATATATATATATAGGATGGCGTTCACGCACACGTGCGGGCGCATAGAGCTGTGTTTACAAATGCAATTTGCAACAGCGTTTATAAACGGCCTTTGGTGATTCAAAACTATATTAACAGACATATAAAACATTGAACAGCAGGTGAAATTAGTGAAATGAGTAATGACCCAGTTTTTTTTTCTTTTCAAGGTGACGTTTTAACATAAATCACAATGTATGTAAAATGCACATTGGTTATGTAGTCTGACAAAACCTTTTACCCGGGACACCCTGATTTTCATTGAGGATACACTCTACAGTACAGAGATTCAAGGGAACCTTTTCTGGATAAAAAATTCAAGTTCAAAAGGGAACTCCACTCCAGGTGTTGGGGAGCTCGGCTGCATATGTGAAAAAAGTAGTATAAACCTTAAGTTCTCCAGAGAGGGCTGTGTGAGGTCTGATTAAAACTTCTGAAAATATTATTCTGCAGTTAAATAAATTAAAAATGTAAGTTTTTGTGGCTGGTCAAAAAGTTCTTGGGGGAGGTGGCATTATGCTGAAGGCCTTAAGACTTCAGTGACCTGACCTAAGTATTTAAAAATCCCTGCTGTGGCTCTGATTTTGTCCTTTTACAGGATTTAAAATCTCTAACAGAGAGCTGAATTTTCCTATTTGGTCCAGGGTCAGTTTGGCCAGAAACTTAACCTTTTCTCAGGGCTTTTCACACTACCATCATGCATCAGCCCTGGGATAAGAGCCGCAACTGGCCCAGATCTTAGTAAAGGCCTTTGTTTAATATCTACAAGTGTGAACAGGGAAACAGTTTCAAGATAAATATCCCTGGGCTTTCTGTAGCCTGAGGTTTAGATTAGCTCAGAGAGTGTGAAAAGCTTTTGTTTTGTCACAGAGGGAGAGGCGTAGCGATCACTGTCTCTTTATTTTCCTGCCACTCATCTAACATGCCGGCTTGTCACGTACAACCTTCAACGGCCACTATAACATTCATCTGAGTCTGTCTGAGGAAAACTAAGAACCCAGAGTATTTTTTTCAAACTGCTGATTGTTTTGAGCTGGAAATGTAAATAGAATAAAAGATGGAAACAGATTTGGCTTCATTTGGTTGCCGTCTCATCAGTGAGACAGAAGCCAAATAAACAGCAGGTTGAGTCTTTAGTTCTGCAAATATTTTTCTCAGAGGTAAAGCTGCTCTGGAGGCAGAAGATTTCTTTTTTGTTGGGTAAAGCCTGAGGCCCCATCCACAGTACTGCGTTTTCAAATTAAAACGGAGACCTTTTGCTACGTTTGCACAACCCGTCCAGACTAAAACGGCAAAAACGAAGACCTAAAACGGAGAAGTTTGGAAACGCTGCCGACCCCGTTTTGCATTTCGATAACTCCGGAGGGAGTTTTAGTGAAGACGGGCCAAAACGGACGACTTTTGAAATGATGACGCAGACACTCACGCTTGCAATGACTCCCAGTCTGTTTTCCGCCAGACCAACAGTCCCAGCTTGTTATTGGTGCATGCAAAAAAAAAAAGCATTTCTTTATTCTTTCACCAAATCTTCTGTAACTATAATAGACCATCTGTTTCATGTTTACACCGGCACGCGCATGCCCAGTGTACCTGAAAAGGCACCGGATGTGTGTTTTCAGTCATTTTAACATAGACTGAGATGAACTCGCAGCTAAAACGCTGGTGTGGACTGAGATTTGAATTCTCTGTTTGTAAACTAAAACGGAGTAGTGTGGATGGGACCTGAGCAGGGGAAGACCAAAACCTTTTTTATTTGACTAAACGATGCTGAGCATTATAAGGGAGCTAAGTAAACAAGCTTTCAGGTAAGCTAGCTAGTGATCTGCTCACCTGCCAGTTAGTGTTTTTCAGCCTTTTTAAAATGTAGTCTTAGTCCTGTGTCAAATGTCCTTGTTAGTTTTTGTCCACTGTTTTTTTTTTTTTTAATAAAGTTTAAGTTGACTAAAACCATCATTAACCATCATGTCAGTTTTTTCTAACTCATTAGTATAGTTTTGATCTAATTTTTACTGCAAAGGAGACATTAACTGATCTTAATTCCTGGGTGATTAGCCTTAATTGAAGCCTTAATTTTGCTTCAAGTTCGTAGTGTTTTTCCAGAAATCTTAAAACATAAAAAACATTGCTCGCAGTCCGATATAATTAGACACTCTTTTTTTTTTTTTTGTCTGCCTCACTGTATTTGAAATAGATAGAATAAATGTCTTAGTGCCTCTTTCTCCCTAGCATGTTGTTGTTCATCACCAGAGTTTGCATTAATGTGATGAATAAAGGGATAGTTGTATTTATTGTCATTCTTGCCATTCACGTCGTACTTAGTGAGTTAGCAAAATTGATGGAGTTTAAGAGAAACATTTGTCAGAACTCCCTCTGATTGGCTATTTGTTTAGCACACCTGTAGGAAAATAGCACCTCTGGTTGGACACCAATAGTAACCAGTGACCAGAGAAAAGTAGTTAAGATTTTACATTTCATGCTATAAGACTTTGATATTCTATATTTCATTATTTTGTTAAGTATTTTAATTACATAATTTTGATCACTATTGATAACATGACAGTTGTTTAGAGACTAATTAAAGGTGGTTTACCCATTGAGATGAGTTTACTTCTCATATTGAGTACTACTCAGCCTATGAAAACAGCTGTGTAATGTTTTCTGTGTCTCTGGAGGAATTTTGTCAGCAGGGTTGCGTCTTGGCTTGGTCTTGAAGACTACACATTTATGTATATTTTATACACATATTTATATGTTACAAACTGAAGCTCTGTGAAGCTCTCAAGCATTTGCAATATACAAGACAGCTGGGGTTTAATGAAGGATGCTACTGAGTGGCATTATGTTAAATCGAGGATCCAGCATTTTTGGAGCTTAACCCATAGTAGGAACTGAAAGTCAGGATCTCCCGGTCCCTATTGTGTCAGTTTAGACTCTAGTTAGCACTAGTACTTAAGTGCTAAAGTGTGAAGTTTGATCTCATTTATATCATAATTTTATTTAAATGTCTGCCAAATTTTAAATTGTTGTGGGTCTGGGGTGGTGATGGAACAGTGGATAAGACGCATACCTTTGGTGTCAGAGATCTGGGTTCAACTCCCACTGTGAGACATCCACCAATGTGTCCCTGAGCAAGACACTTAACCCCTAGTTGCTCCAGAGGCGTGCGACCTCTGACATATATAGCAATTGGATAAAAGCGTCAGCTAGATCAATAAATGTAATGTAATGGCTCTGATTAATTTGTCATCGGTTCAGTAAATCAGCTCCTAAAACAACAACCAACCTGTTTCTCTCTTCTATCGCTTTTAAATCACTGTGCTGTATAGTTGTGGTTGAGCCACCTGCTGCAAAAAGAGACGCTGTGGTGTCTCATCGTCTGTTTGAATCTTGCTGCCGGTACCATTTAATGCAGTGTTGTGTGACATGTCAGAAAGGACTAGTATCTGTGTTGACTGTCCACGCTGAGAGCGGGACGCTGACAGACTCTGAATGACACAGCTATGACAATACCCTGTGTGTGTGTTCGTGTGAAGAAGTCTTCCAACTCAAAGTAGCTGTGCCTCTAGGAAAACAGTTAGCCTGAGTTAGCCTGAGGCTAGCTGACCGCGCCATGCTAAACCTGTCTAAAGATGCAAGCACATAGCTGTCTGT